GCCGATCGCCGGCCGGGCGAAACGCGGGCTGTTGACGCGGCACGGCTGTGCCAAGCACTGCTGTGGCTGCAGTGCTGAGCTCGTTGCCGGTCGGTGTCCCATCTCCAGTCAGAATCGTTAGCAGCGTGTCTGAGCTGGGTGCCTGCATACAGGGCAGGCTTCTGACCAAGGCACCAGCCCAAGAAGTTTTAAATGCTGATTTATTTAAATAATGTTTGCTGTCCCCTTGCTCTGCAGGCTGAGGAACTCAAGATGGCGACTCAGCTGACCGGACCGATTATGCCGATCAAGAATGTAAGTGTGACTAAATCACGGTCTGTGTGCAAAACAGTCGTGCAGGGGATTCTCTTCTCGCTGTCCTCCAGCCGAGCCTGGCTGTCTCTGGATGCTTCCCATCCTGGATCAGGGAAGACCAGGAATGGGTCAAGCTTGTCCTTGTCTCTTGCCAAGATCTGTTCAGTTCCGCGGTGTTGCAGAGCGTAAGGAACAGATTCCTTGGAGCTCTGCTACGCTTTGCATCGGCTGAGGAAGTCCTGACCTCACGAGCTGTGTTCCTGGGTCCAGAGCAGAGCCCCAGGCACCAGCGTCAGGATTTCGGGTCAAGACGTGTTGGTTGGGGATACGCGTTCCGCGTCGGCCCTGGGTGACGGGTGGGAGAAGCGCCGCTACGTACGCCCTCCAGGGAAGGGAACCTGCGCCATAACCCCCCGAACCGCACGGGTCCTGTGAGAGCACAGGTTAAAGCACACACGAGGCACCTACAGTGCGCGTTCGTGCTCAGCGCTGTGTCCTCCGGGCAGCTCCAGGGGTGTTTTTCCGCTTGTACCTCGGCGGGAGCTCATCCCCCTGCGAAACTTGGCTGCGGCGAGGGGCGTGTGCTGGCAGCGTGACAGCCCGGGCAGTCACCGCTGCTGCATCCGAAAGGTGCCGCTGATAGCGTGCCCCAGCCCTGACTCAGATGTCACGGCGCGCTGGTGTTTTTTCCTCCTGGTACGTTCTGGCCTGGCGCTGACGCGTGAGGAGCCGGTTGGCGACGAGGTGCCTGGCGGAGCGGCGCTGAGGGCAGGGCCTGTAGATGGCATAAATGCTCTGTTCTCACGGCGTCCTGCCGCGCGTGGTAGAAAGGGAGCGAGATTAATTGCGTTAAGCCTTAAACACAGCCTTCTCCGGGAGCCTGTGATGTGCAGCCTGACCGTCTGGCGCTCTCCCCCACTAGGTTTTCAAACGAGAGAAGGCTCGTGTCATCTCCGAAGACGAGAAGAACTTCAAGGCCTTTGCCAGCCTGCGCATGGCCCGGGCCAACGCCCGTCTCTTCGGGATCCGGGCGAAACGCGCCAAAGAAGCGGCAGAGCAGGATGTGGAGAAAAAGAAATGAATCCCCGAAACTGTCAAAAAAAAAAAAAAAAAATGTAGAAATACAAGTGCGCTGTCTTTTTAGGGCAAAAATCTGGGACTGAGCTGCCCTGCCGCCCCGCTCTGCTGCAGGGGGTGGGCTGCTGAGCGGGGAGGGACGCGCTCAGGCCTGGGGAACCTCGATTGCTGTGCCGAGACTCCAGAGCTGGGACTGAGCTGCCCTGCCGCCCCGCTCTGCTGCAGGGGGTGGGCTGCTGAGCGGGGAGGGACGCGCTCAGGCCTGGGGAACCTCGATTGCTGTGCCGAGACTCCAGAGATCCCTGAACGCGAGCGAGACGGACGCCTTGGCCTTCTGCAGCTCCCTGCGGGGATGCTCTGGCCCATCCTGGCTGTCGGAGGGGCTCGCTGTGGTGGGGTCTGTCCCGCTCCGGGGCGCACCCAACCGAGCCCCTTTGCTGGCTCATGGAGTCTGGGGCCGTTCTGCAGCCCAGCTGTGCCGTGAATCGCCCGTGCTGGGGTGATGGAGTCGTTTGTGTTCACAGAACCCCAGCATGGCAGGGGTTGGCAGCGACCTCTGTGGGTCACCTAGCCCAACCCCCTGCCCCAGCA